CCCATTGTTTGTATTCTATAGGATTACTGAAAATAATACACGCGATAGAAATTGGGAATGTCCAATCACTAACTTTGATTAAGTGTTTATTAAGTATTTTCCTAAGTATTTTACATCTGTTATATCATTCACTTCTTGAAAAACTCGTGAGATAGGTATTGTTTTTGTTCCCAGGTTACAGGCATCCCAGGCAGAGGCTGTGGCACTGATGCAGGCAGGCGGTGCCAAGGCAGGACCACAGGAGCCAGAGGGCAGCTGCAGGGACCTGTTAGGAGAGCCAGGCTGGAGGGGGACAATGTGAGCTTTAGCCATCCAGAGGCAAAATAAGCACTGTCCCTGGTATAGGCAGTGGAGTGAGTGCAGACAGGGTTGGGGAACATGAGGGACACCAAGTTAACATTTGCACAATAAAGAGGTATAGTGGGAAGTGAGAGGCTTTATGGCAGTTCACCTTCATTTGTGAAGGGGTGGCAGGGCAGCAAGCCCATTTGAACTTCTCGTTTAGAAGCCTTGGCAAGCGTCTATTTTTCTACTCTTTCTTTAAAATTTTGACTGGACACTGATGATAATCAGGCTCAGTTTTAGTAAGAGACTGAGAATAGTGAGCAGGATGGAGTGGAGACTTACAAGGAAAAGCTCTTTCTGAGTGACTAAGATGATGCTGTTGCAATTACTGGAATAAGAAATAGAAAAAAAAAAGGATGTGGATGAGGGTTTGATTGATTTCATTTCAGATATATTGTGTCGAGAGGATCTTAGGCCATTTAGAAGGAAATGATCAGCATTCATTGACATATCTCTCTGGGATTCAGGATTAGTAATTGTGAATAATCCATTTAGAAATAATATTTGATGCTATGGGAGTAATTCAAACCTGCAAAATGACTGAATTCATAAAGAGGAAGAGCTGATAGAGAATCTTTGCCAATTATTTGTACTGGCTGTAAATTGAGTTTTCAAATCTTTAGGGCTAAATATAGTTCTATACTTAAAACATTCTCTTCCTGATATTGTCAACTTTTCTGCCATATTTATCAGTACTGAAAAACAGTAACTTTTTAAAGCTATAGCTTTTCATGTCTATGGTTATTTAATTTGCAATTTTTCAAATTAGCATTTTTCTTTTAACTCACCTCCATTTCTGTGGGTGACACTAGTTTCTATTCACACCTGATAGCAGACATGCAAGGCATGACTGACAGCAATACTTGTTAATATTTTCAGAGCATTTTTTTCAGTTTTCAAAGGGATGCTCATCAATTGAATTTCCTCAGACTGGATATATATGAATCATAAGTAGTTTATTATTTCTTTTGTGGACACAGAAATAAATTGCCTTACTGGAAATCTGGGTAAGAAGTGGGAGAGCTGAGATTTGAACTTGAAACATTTAACTCCAGATCCTGCTTTCTCTGCTGCATCATCAGTGTCACACTATTCCTTATAGGAGGAAGATAGCAATTTGATAGATATGAGAGTTCTTATATCACTTTTGAACTGTTCTTAGCAATCGTTTCTTCTCAACAGATCACAAAAGCTGATTTAGAACAGCGCCATCCTCAGCTTGATTATGTTTTCACATTGGCACAGAATTTGAAAAATAAAGCTTCCAGTTCAGATGTGAGAACAGCAATCACAGAAAAATGTGAGTTTTAAAAGATTATATGTTATCCTGTTTTCCTGAAAATTGTCTCAAGTACACATACACTCAAAGATTATTCAACTAGTAATTAGTGTTATGTGATGCTGTGATTTATTAATAAATGTAGCTCTTATTTTTATTTTGGTGAACATTGTATAACAGTTATTTTAGAAATTCCTTAAAGTATTAATTGACATCAATTTATACACAGCTGGTTATAGTGCTGGCAGATGTGCTTTGTACAGTGGTCATGAGCTGGCAGCTTATGACCTGGCAGCAACAGAAATATCTTGTCTTATTTTTCTCTCTGTTTTGGTTTCGGCCAGTTTTGTCTGGTTTTCTGGTTTAGTCTGCAAGAAAATATAAACAGGAGCATAGAGATGCACAGGGCAAGGGTAGGGAACTCATTTTCCAGACTGGGAACAAAACCACATCTTCCCATCTCTCAACTCATCTTCTCAAAATTCATTCTCAAAATATTTATTGAGCACTACTATGTACTTATATGCCCAGCACTAATTTGGAATTACTTTAGAGGCAAAATAGAACAAAGGGAACAAAAACATGTAGAACAATAATAAGAAATTTGCTCTCTGGCATTAGAGCATCTGTAAAATCTGTATAGCACGCAAAACAGTCTCAGTTCTCAGGAATGTCATCTGGGGACCATCAGAGTCCACTGCATTTTTCCCTCCGTATAGCCCTGGACCCTGTCTGTAGCTATTTTGTACTATATATACTCTTTAAAACGTCCTGACATTTCCTAGCCTCCTTATTTTATTTGTGTTACTTTTTTTCCTCTTGGTCTTTTCTCCCCAGGTGAAATTCTACTCAGCAACTAAAATGTCACTCTCCCTGTGAAGTCTTCCCTATCCTCTTTTGGTCCTCGTGAACTATAACATTTTCTACCTTCAGTTACTGTGGCAGCCTTTTCCCCCAATAAATACCTCGTAGATCTCAGTTACTTCAATTCTCTCCTCTACATACATGGTGAATAATCAACTCTCTGGCCCTGAGGCGCTCACAGTACCTGATGTAAATAGATACTTCATAAATATTTGTGGCAGTATATAAACTGGGAGGTGTTTTATTACCCCGCATAGGGAAGGGAAGAAAGTCAACTATTCCCCGTATGAAAAGGTATTTTGATTCTATTCTGGTACCTCAAGATCACTCCCCCTAAGATGATCAATCAAAAGTTTGTTTCTTTAAATTTTTCCTTAACTTGATGCTAACAAAGAGAAAATGAAAGAAGGAAGGGGAAGACAGGAGAGGGGAGAAAGATACTAGAAAGAGAGCATATGAAGGGAAAAAAATAAGAAAAAAAGGAGGAAAAGAATCAGCATGGATTTTTTTTTTTATGTTGAAGAGCTGCTGGGTAACTTAGATTCATAAAACTTGAATCTACTTTTAATGTTTCTTTAGAACTTGAGCATACAAAAATACTTTTTTAGAAGCATTTCATTTTGCAGTAAAACAAGCGTGAAAAGCATATTTAAATGGTTGGTTTTATTTTAAAATCAAGATTACCTTAGAGCATCTCTTTTGAGGATGACAAGTGACTATATTTACATCTTAAATTTGTATGCATGTATATGTATCAAGCACTGTTAAACTCTGCCTTCATCTAACCAGATAGGAATTTATTTTATTTATAATTTGGTTTATCAGCTATTTTTATTGTGAATTAGTACATTTAAAATAGAGTTTAATCCAAAACTTCATTCTTCAGTATAGTTTTAGAAATATATCAGTTGTATAATATACCAGGCATGTATTAAAATTCCTTTAAAATGTATGTGCAACTTGTCTCCTTTCTCTTCTATTTGTAAACTTATTTATGACACATTTGGTATCAGGTATTTTTCCATTTCCTAATAGTGATTTTCTGGGATTATTTTTTCAATGCCTCCTCCAGTGGAAAAGGTCAAGAACCAGTGGGACAGCACTCAGCATGGAGTCGAGTTAAGGCAGCAGCAGCTGGAGGACATGACCATCGACAGCCTACAGTGGGATGACCACAGGGAGGAGACCGAAGAGCTGATAAGAAAATATGAGGCTCGGCTCTATATTCTTCAGCAAGCACGGCGGGACCCCCTTATCAAGCAGATTTCTGATAATCAGGTAAGACTCAGATATTTTTTGCCACTATCAGTGTGTTGGCTATACTTGTGTGTTATGTAATGCTTAGTACTTTTTTATGATGTGATGTTTTTTCAAATTCTTAAGAGTACATATTGAAATTTGTATAAAGAATTTGACAGGGAAGTTTTTGAAAAGTTTCTGGAGGAGTAATAAATAGAAATATGCAGGTGTCCTAGATTTACACGAACTGACTCTTTGCAAATGGAACACCCCCATGAACAAGTGTCTAGAAAAGAATATTTTACTATTCCAGAAACTCTCCTTTTGCTGGTTTCCATCTCTACCCTGAAGGTTGTTTTTATTTGTGAGATTTCCTGAATCTTTTGTTTGAGTAGTGAAGACATTAAATCACAAATAATCTTAATTTCTATTGATACTTTTATAACTAAACCATTTTATCAGTATCGTCACAGCAGATACTTTTTTTTGCAATCCATTTCATGACAGATCAGAATGGATGATATTTAGCACTTAAGGTATTTTTAAGGTGCTGTTTTATATTCTTTCTACAATCATAGAAGTCATTCTTGAATTGGAAGTTATGGTTGTTAGGTTATATTTTAGTGTACCATTTATTTTCCCTTTAGATAGTTTAAGATGAGTGTACATTTATGGAGAATATAATAATGAATATATGGGAAACAAATCTAAAACTGATAGCAAGTAGACTTTCCACAGTTAACATCCAAAAGGCACGAGGACACTAGTCCCAGTTTCCTGGATCTTTTACCCCACTTATATTTACTGGCTGTTTGTACTAAATGACTCAAATGTAGTAATCAGCCAAGCTGATTGTCCTGGACATAAGACTTGAGCATACAATTAAAAGCGGTCCCAATGTTCAATCATCATATTCAGAATAATCTTTCCTAATCAACACTATGGTTCTCTGAAATTTCAGTGTGGATTTTTATGCTACTCATTCCATGTAAAATATTATAGGAACGCTCATTTGTCATTTAGATTTCTTGGGGAGTATCTTGACCCAGGGGCTCTCAGAGATGGAGTAAGCACATCAAGGAACCAAGATCTATGGATACGCTTAGCAGAAGTTTAGTTATTCAAGGAATTCCCAGTAACCTTGCTTGGTTCCAAGCACTTCACATTGTAGACACTCGGAGATCCAGGGGAGAGAGACAGAAGACTTCCTTCTTAGTGCCTTTTCCATTTCTCTAAACATGTAGAGGAATTCTAAGTTATCCCTTTATGATGGATTTCCTGCAGGATCAGGTGAATAGCAGAGAGGATGAAAAACACAAGTGGTTTTAGGTAACGGAGGAGCTCAAGGAGGAAAAGATAATAATCTTTTAATATCATCTGTTAAGTGCCTGATAACTTTCTTAGACATTTTCCTTTTCACTTCTAGATTGTTTTGTTTTAAGCTTACCTACCAGTATTTTCTTCTTTGTTTTCTTCTTTTGATATCTGTGTCCAAAATATATTACAGCCTACTGGGATGGCCCAGTGTTTTGATCATACTAATTACTGAGTGAGCAAGTCTAACAATTATACTTGAAATTATACCTTAGATATTGCTTCAAGAACTGGGCCCTGGTGATGGCATCATAATGGCGTTCGATAATGTCCTGCAGAAATTGTTGGAAGAATACAGTAATGATGACACAAGAAATGTGAAAGAAACAACTGAGTACCTGAAAACATCATGGATCAGTCTCAAACAAAGGTAATGTGAAGGCCCTGGCAGATGAGAGTTTGATTGCTTTGGCCTTTTCAGGAAACATGCCAAATATGTGACAATTAGAAGTTCATTTTATCATTATTTTTCCCATTTTTAGGTTGTACTTAGTATCACAGCACAGACTGTACACACTCATACTCACACACAATATCTATATCTCTATGTATATATCTGTACATATATTGAATATATACATTATCTACCTGAATTTCTACAGTGGTTTTCCTTGAATAAATCTGAGCCTTGCCAATGATTATCATATGAATTCTGATTTTCTCCTGCCTCTTGGTATTACCTCCAATATTTGGTCCCATGCTGATGGAAGGAGTATTGTGTTAGGTACAGACGCTTTAGGGTAATATTGTCCCTAATAGTCATTAAAATAGTGTGCTGTTTGGCCAAATCTCATTAGTTGAGCATGCACACACTAGACCTCTGAAATGTGCTGTGTGTCATTTAGTCACCAACTAATTTATTATCTTTTCTTTCCTTATTCTGTCTAGTATATTTGGAACAGTCTAAAATAGATATGTGCTTATAAGAAATTTTTGTGTCACTTGAGCACTTAGGATTTGAGGAACTATAAACAGTGCTTAGCATCTCTTTAAGATTGCATATTTATATTCATCATCAGTAGAAAAGTGTTTACTTACATAGTATTGGGAATACCTGTCTAAATGAAATTATGGTTCCACGCACATCTTTATATATTTGTATGCATTACAACTGCCTGAAATCTAACTTGATATCAAAACACATTTATTTTGTGAATAAAATGGATAACATTCAAGCATTTTATGTTATATATCACTGGTAATAAAGTATGACTTAATATTTAATAACATTTTGACATTTTATACATTTTTAGGATGCCATTTTTAGTTAGAATCTATAAAGTAGACATTTTTGAAAAACTCAAAGAGAATGATAAGGGCAGTGTATGAGCCTAAATGTGTTGCTATATATACCTGGGATTCTGGAGGAAACAGGGCAGGGGCAGCAACTACAAAAACTCAAATATTTAAATCACAATATAGCTATGTAATCTTGGTCTTTCTAGCATTTGAATACAGCTGTTCTAAGAGATTATTTGGCTATGGGAATAAATCCAAAATTAAGGCAGAGAGGAGGGTGAACTGAAAATAATTTTATTGTACAAACTTCCAGTTATTAAAATAATTAAGTGTTGGGGGGATAGTATATAGCATGGTAACTACAGCTAATAATATTGTACTGTACGTTTGAAAATTGCTAAGAGAGTACATCTTAAAAGTTCCCATCACAAGAAAAAAAATGGTAACTTTGTATTGGGTGATGAGTATTTACTAAAATTAATGTGGTAATCATTTTGCAGTATATGCCAGTGTCAAATCATTATGTAGTATACTTGAAACTAATACGATGTTAGATATCAATTATATCTCAGTTAAATAAACAGCTTTACTGTGTGGAGATTTCTGGACCTACTAACATAGAGCTTCCATATGATCCAGCAATTCCACTCCTAGGTATTTACCCAAAGGACACAGAAACATCAATTCCAAGAGCACCTGCACTCCTATGTTTATAGCAGCACTGTTTACAATAGCTAAGCTTTGGAAACAACCCAAATGCCCAAAATAGATGACTGGATCAAGAAGATGTGGTACATATATACCATGGAATATTACTCAGCATTCAAAAAGATAAACACATGCAATTTGCAGCAACATGGATGGCACTGGAAGGGATCATGCTCAGCGAAATAAGCCAAAAGAAAAAGAAAAATACCGATGGTCTCACTCATAGCAGGAATCTAGAAAACTTAAATAAGGGACCAGGAAAATGAATATAAGAAAGTGAAAATCAAAATCAACAAAAAACTATGAACCAGAGACACTTTTTGGGGGGTGGGGGCGGGAGGGGAAGGATTGGGGTCAGAATGGGCGTTTGCAATTGTGTGGGGAATATAAAAATAAAATTTAATATTTAAAAAAAAAAAAAAAATAAACAGCTTTAACATAAATGGAGATCATCCTTAAGCACACATTATGTGTTTCCAAAAATTTACATATTAGAGTTATGAGGTTGTTTTTGTTGTAAACAATGCCAGAAAAATTGATCACTTAAGAATGTATGGCCTGCTTTATTTAGCACCTCCAATTTTTTTTTTTTTGCTTTTACTTTGTAAATATTTTAAGACAGCAGAAGTTAGGCTAGATGGAAGAGGCAATTAAAAATGAATTACATGCCAAGATGATCTTTCATTTATCATAGCTGAGACAACTACAATGTTCCAATTTTATGCTAGTTACAAGTAGATTTCCTTATGCCATTTTTTTCCTGTAATTTTTGGGAAATTGGTAAATATATTAATATTCAGACAAGATTTAGTTATCTATAAACAAGGGAGAATACAACAAAACTGTGGGTGATGGCTTCATGAGTGATGGTGGGAGTATTTGTGTATTAAGAGGATTTTCTTTATTCAAGCATAATGATGATTACAATTTTTATTTCCAACTTTTATAGTTTTTGTATGTTTATCCAAAAATTATAAATTTTTTGATTTGTTCTAATTGGGAATCTTTCTAGAGTATATAGATCTTTTCTTGCCTTAAACATAGTTTATGACCATATATTAAACATTTTTTGAATGCCAATCATTTTTGTGAAGATAAAATTAAAGGCTTTAATAGCTATATGCAGCCTTACAGTTCTTCTAAACAAGGCCTACTCAGTCTTTTTTTTTTTTTTTTTTAAATTTTTTTTTAATAGAGGCATGTTTTATTTATTATTTATTTATTCATTTGTTTGTTTTGTTTCTACATGCACTGGGTACAGTCAGAAGCGCGGGAGGGTGAGAGAACTCACCAGAGCCAGAGCGGGGAGCAGAGCAGGCAGAAGAATCCAAGTACACTGCTGAGGGGAGCAGCGGGCGGCAGGAGAGGTCTGCGCGCCATGTGGGCCCCTCCTCCGGTGGCCGGGGAGCAGCCGGGGATCGAACCGGTGCCGCAGAGGCTGCTGGCAGCCTCGCAACCCAGCGTTCAACCGCTGCGCCACCGGGAGGCCCTACTCAGTCTTTTTTTTAATTAACCCCCTAAGAAGCCATTTCAGATCTCTGCCCTCTGTGAAATTTTAATACTGTAGGTTTGTTATGTATCTGTTTCTGAACTTTATAGTTATGCTTTGTACATAACAAAGAGTGAATTTTTTCCACTTCCCTCAGTCACAAAGAACTAAAATTAATGTGGTAATTACTTACTGTTTCTACTGACTGTTTCTGCTGAGACTTCCAATTCTAATTCAGTGCTGCCTGGCTCATGCATGTAAAATGGCATGTTCAAAGTCACATAGCATAGCTAACATGACATTTTTCTTTACAAAATTATAATAATACTCTCCAGACTCTTGAATTCTGAAGAATTGGTAATTTTTTTCTAACTACTATACTTCTGAGGTTTTGTGCTTTTTTAGTGTGTATGTTTTATTGGGTATCTTCTTGTTGTCAGACTCTTCACATACATTATTTCAATTAATCCTCACAACAGCTGTAGGAGACAGGCAGAATTTTCACCAATGTGATGTCTATGAATAAATTGAAGCCAAAGAATGTAAGGAATACCCAAGATCACACAGCTCAGACAGAGATGGGATCGTGGCTAGCAGACTGTCTGCTAATGTTGGTGGCAGCTCTGTGTACACGCCTCTGGGATCTGTCTGTGACTCCACTTACTGTTTCTTACCTATGATGCATTTAGAAACCAGACTGATTACAGATATGGGGGCCTCTGCTGTTAAGTGTTGTCAGTGCAGGACGTAGGCACTGTGCCCGCCGTCAAACTGCTAGGAGGCCTCACACACACCTTTCCTCTTATCTCCCAACTGTTTTGTGTTTACATCATTGTCAGCCAAGTTCTGCAGGGGTGAGGGGTTATTGCATTTGCACATAGAACACTGAGGTTGTGGCATAGTTTGTGATATGTTTAATATCAGTTGTTTTTTTTTTTTTAGATTATTTATGCATACAAGAGCTTGGGTACAGGCCAGAGATGGGGGGGTGAGAGGATTCATCAGAGACAGAAATACTTTGCTGAAGGGAACAGCGGGTGAGACATGAGAGTTCTGCTGCAATATGTGGGTTGCTCCCCGGACTGACCAGGGATTGAAGTCATGCTGCCGCAGCTGAGGATTACCTCACAGTGCATTGCTTAACCCCTTGTGCCACCAAGGAGGCCCTGTTTAATATCAGTTGTAAGGAAATGTTTCATATGAATTACATTTGGCCTAACTAAGTTGGCTTTTCATCCACAGTCCGTTTATCTATGCTGCCAGAATTCAGTACACTTTGATAAACCGAAAGCTTTGAATTGACATGAGGCTATTGACTAGTCTTTGCTTTACCCCACTTACTGAGAATGGTCTTATTTCTAATTGCAAAATATTAATGTGTTTTTTGGTCGTCACCCAGACCCTATTTGGGGGTGGTATGTCATAGATGCCTTTATAACAATAGATCTAATGTAAAAAAGTTCTTACCTGGCTTCTGCTATTTTGGATTCCGTAAGCAACAAGTCTTTATATACATTTTAAACTAACTGACATATCTTACCCAGAACTCTGCCTGGGAATTTTGTTCCTTATATCTCTTCATGACAATTAACAAGCTTTTTTTAACTATAAATTGAGTAGTGATAGTTGGCATGTACTTATAGTAACTTTTGGATTGTAGTGAGATTTAAGATGCTTGATTTGGTTCTGAAATGTTCTTTTAGTCCTTTGTGTGTGTGTTTGTGTATGTGTATGTATATGTGTGTATGTATATTTGTGTACATATACATACAAATGCACACATAGTTGCTTGTGCTAAAATATTTGAAAGGTAATGAGACAATGACTTTATTCTATAAAGAATATCTGTAAAGCATATCCAGAATCACTAATTACTATATATTTTTCTCTTTGCCCTTATCTCCCAGAAGCCATAGCTTGCCTGTGTCATGTTA